CAGACATCTCACAGCTGACCAGCGAGGTGGAGGATGCAGTGCAGGAGTGCCGCAATGCTGAGGAGAAGGCGAAGAAGGCTATCACAGACGTAAGAGCGTGGTGGGGACTGTGCTGTATGGTTTGGCAAGGGTGCACAGCACCCTGTGGGGCTGGTGGGTGCGAGGAGAGGGGAGGGTCTTAGAGCTTCTCCATTGAGACCCTGTGTCTGGCAGGGCTGCCTGGTCTCATGGTGATGCCTCTGTGCTCTTGGCCTTGCAGGCTGCCATGATGGCAGAGGAGCTGAAGAAGGAGCAGGACACAAGCGCGCACCTGGAGCGGATGAAGAAGAACATGGAGCAGACCATCAAGGACCTGCAGATGCGCCTGGACGAGGCGGAGCAGATTGCTCTCAAGGGGGGCAAGAAGCAGATCCAGAAGCTAGAGGCCAGGGTGAGAAAGCAGGGGCATTCTCCTGGCTGTGTCCTCCAGGAGCTGGCTCCTGATGCTGCCCCAGCCCCTGTGGCACCAGGCTCTGCAGGGCACCAGCACTGCCCCATCCCTCTGGGGCCAGGCTGTGCCATGGGGGGACCGTGGGCAGTGAGGGACAGTCCCTGAGGCCCTGCAAGCCTGGGCCTGGCTCCCAGCCTTTGCTTGGGGTGGCCTAGCCTCTGCTGTGGCTTCTCTGAGCTGGGAAAGTGGCTTGGGCTGGGCTGGAGCTGGTGCGAGGGAGCAGAGTGCTGAGCTGGCCTCTACCCACCTGCAGGTGCGCGAGCTGGAGGGAGAGCTGGACACGGAGCAGAAGAAGACGGCCGAAGCCCAGAAGGGCATTCGCAAGTACGAGCGGAGGATCAAGGAGCTGAGCTACCAGGTACGGCAGCATAGGTCACAGCTCCAGCCCAGCAGGACTTGGCCCAACTCTCCCTGTGCTCAGCCTCTTGTGTGATCCAGTAACTCCCCCAAGGCCAGCCCAGACTCGCTCTGGACTCTGTGCGGGGACTGAGAGGGCGAGACAGGCTTCTCCCTGTCACAACATCCAACCCCTGCTCTGTGTCCTTCTGCCCTTTTTTTTTCGTCTGCCCAGTTGCCAGCATCTCCTGAGCTGGGTGCTGGGACACAAGGTGGGGGGGCCCTGTGACATGGGCCGGGGGGCTGGGTTGGTGCTCTCTGTGTGTGGGAAGGGCCCTGGCACCACTGGGACTCTTGGATAAAGGGGCAGGGGTCTTCTGGGGTCCTGCTGACGGAGCCGGGGCACTTGCAGGCTGAGGAAGACCGGAAGAACCTGACACGGATGCAGGACCTGATCGACAAGCTGCAGACCAAGGTCAAGAGCTACAAGCGCCAATTTGAGGAGGCGGTAAGTGCCCGTCCCCACCGCCGCTCTCCTGGGGCAGAGGACAGCGCTGCCCTTCCCCGGGGCTGCCTGGGATGGCTGCAAGAGAAAGGGGCCATGAGGGCGATGTGGGGAGCGCGCAGCCTGGTGTCCCGGCTGTGCCCCATGCACTCACCTCTCCCCTCACCCCATCCAGGAGCAGCAGGCCAACTCCAACCTGGTGAAGTACCGCAAGGTGCAGCATGAGCTGGACGATGCAGAGGAGCGTGCCGACATTGCCGAGACGCAGGTCAACAAGCTGCGTGCCCGCACCAGGGAGGTCATCACCTCCAA